TATTATTAGTTGGTATTAGCAATAACTATTATATAATATAATAGAAAAATACATGATTATACTCATTATTATGTATTAATGTGAGAAATAAAAAATATTAATGATAATTTTGTAACCGAAAATGGAGGAAAAATGTTAGAGGTTTTATTAAATAGGTAAAATTAAATGTTATATGCTAGCAATTATATATATATAGATTTGTGATGAAAGTAATTACGGCTCGGAGTCAACAACTTATATATGTGTGCAGAAGATATTATGTAGGCATTGAATGTCATACTTTAAATTATAGGCAAAATTGTATTTTGTGCCCTGTAACTATGTGTGTGTGGCAAATGTGGACAACTTTTTTTTGATTTGGCGAAAATGCCCCAAAACTTGTTAAAAACCGGAATCGTGTCAAATTTACCTACAAGTTACCGGATCTGACCGGTTTTTTGTGTGGCAAAACAGGACAGTAACTTGTTAAAATTCAAAATTTGTGCTCACATAGGGCACGAATTTCGGGTTTTAACAAGTCTCATGGCACTTTTGCCAAACCAAAAAATTGTCCATATTTAACATACACCCCTAATTACAGGGCATAAAATGTAATTTTGCTTAAATTATAATAATATAAACAAAATGTATGATATTTCATAATATAAATATGCATTAATTTTAAGGATTATCAATTAAACCGTGACAATAACAACATTTATTTATAATGAATTTCTCCCTTCTAATCTAATATAAGAGTAATGATGAATACAACAAATACAGGTGAAAAGTCATATGAAACCCTAGAATGTGCTAGAACCTCTTTAGAGCATGGCCACGAAAATATGTAGAATTGTGATCCCCCACTATTCGCCCTGTAACTGTCCAAAAATGTGACATGGGACATTGATGATGATAATAAATCTGGGTGGTGGGTCAAATTACATTTTATTTTATTTTTTTATCTTGAAAATTTCAAAAAATAACTATAAAATATTAATGTACGTTTTCAACTTTGTTTAAGCTCATACAATACACTATTCATAACTTTGTCCCCATGTATTTTGGATAATTTTCAAAGGTGTTACAATTATTTTGGTCCAAAATAATTGTTTGATAAATATCATAAATTTAATTTATGAAGTTGTATTGTTTTTCGTTTTTTCTTAATCCATTCTTTCCAAAACATTGTTCTTTTAGGTTTTTTCAGAATTAGTTCAAAAAAATTAATCAAATAAGTTCATTACCAACAAGCTAATTAGCCAACTTAATTGGTGAAGCCTATAAATAAAGTCAAATTCTTTAATTTAGCATCAATCAATCTTGTAATAAACAAACAAATCTTATAAAATTTATCATCAAACCTCTAATTTAATCCCAAGACAATAGTTACCAAAGACAATTCAAAGAAAAACACTAGTATTGTTTTCTAATACAAGATTCGAAAGAATAAATTTAACTATTTTTCTATCAAAGGCACAAAAAAATTCGTTTTCTAATTTGGGTTTTCCCAATTGAATTCTTTTTAATATTCTTTACCTTTCTTTTTTCCCAAGAAACAAAGGAAAAAAAAAAATGAATTCTCACTAAACCAGCCTGTACTAAAGCACCTTTAAATAAGCCTCCAACCTCCCACTGTTTTTCACATAAAGCTATCTCTCATCTGCTCCCCAATTTGCTCAGTAACACAGTAAAAAAACCCCTTTTTGAGCTTTGTTTCTTTCTGGGCTAATGGCGAAGATCAAGATCGGAATCAACGGTAAGCTCACTTTTTTCTCCCCTTTTGATGTTTCTGGAAAAGGGTTCTCGTTATGCACCAAAAAGATCCGATCTTTTTTCAATTTTTTTAGATTTGTTTCAATTTTCTACTTTTTTTTTGTCAGGATTTGGAAGGATCGGCCGTTTGGTGGCGAGGGTTGCTCTGCAAAGAGATGATGTGGAGCTTGTTGCTGTTAATGATCCGTTCATCAGCACTGATTACATGGTAAATTTCAGTTTTATTTTCTGGGGCATGATTTGTTGAAGTTCTTGTTTTTTATCTGCTATTAGCCATAACTGATGGTGAAACAAAAAAATAATGAAAAATATCGCAGACATACATGTTTAAGTATGACAGTGTCCACGGCCCATGGAAGCATCACGAGTTGAAGGTGAAGGATGAAAAGACCCTTCTCTTTGGTGATAAACCTGTTACAGTTTTCGGTCACAGGTAATGATCAACTTTTTCCCCTCTTTTTTCAATTAATTTTTTTTTTAGTTGTTGGTATTTATTTATTTATTTATTGTTGGCAATTTTTAGGAACCCTGAGGAGATCCCATGGGCTGAGACTGGGGCTGAGTTTGTTGTGGAGTCTACTGGTGTCTTCACTGACAAGGACAAGGCTGCTGCTCACTTGAAGGTTTCTCATCTTCTTCTTCATCTTCTTAATTTATTTTTTTTTATTTTTTTTTTATTTTCTTATTCTAAAGATCATGTTCTTCTCAATAGATCTGCCAATTGATTTGTTTGATTTTGGGTTTGAGCTAATTTTAAATTACAAATACATCTTGGGTTGGGATATGTTCAATTTGTCAGGTAGATTGAATATCAGGGTTATTATTAATTTCCAGAGATCCATGTGATGCATTGTAGCTGGATCTAATCTAAGTGTATTTTTTTCTAGATTGAATGTTGCTCTTGTTTATTGTGTGCATTTTGTCTATATGGATTCCATAAATCGGTTCGAATTTGATCCGAGTCGATGATATGATGTGTTTGCAAAGTAAACGATGTATCCTTTTCAGTGTAAGAGCATAAATTTCTACTACTGAAAAATGTTCTGCCCAATCAAATAATAATTTTGTACAGCTGAAAACTTTTTACAGTCAAAGATATGATTGAAAGTTAAAATAATTTGTTTTTGCAAAGTAATTTCAGTACAAAAACACAAATTTCTCCTTCTGAAAACCTCCTGCCCAAGTGTAAAGCTGAAAACTGTTCAGCTGAAGATTGTTGTTAAGTCTCCATTACAATATGGTTCTTAGTATTGACCACACTATTCTTCTGGTGACTCCATTCATCTGCTAGTTTCGTTTCTTGTCGATGTATAATAGTTTACCATAAGAATTTGAATTTAAGTTGTGACCATTTCCTCTTTTTGTATCCTCCAAATTTTTTTCCATGATATAAATCCTGCTTTTGGATTCAGGGTGGGGCTAAGAAAGTTGTGATCTCAGCTCCGAGCAAAGATGCGCCCATGTTTGTCGTGGGAGTTAATGAGCACGAATACAAACCCGAGTTGAATATTGTCTCAAACGCTAGCTGCACCACTAACTGCCTTGCCCCATTGGCTAAGGTTGTATAAGCCCTCATTTTCTATTTGTTCTTTATTGCAAATTCTTGTTTTAATTTAATCTGTGGCCTTATGAAGCATGATGATGATTAGCAACAAGTGCTCTATTTTTTTTGAACAGGTCATTAATGATAGGTTTGGCATTGTCGAGGGCCTCATGACCACTGTTCACTCTATTACCGGTGAGTGATAATCTATTTATTTATTTTGGGTTTTTTTGGGGTCATCGTAACCCAAAGCTTGCATTTTTATTTTGATTATCTGATGTTTATGCTATTATTTGTGTGCATAATCTATTAGCCACTCAAAAAACTGTCGATGGCCCATCGAGCAAGGACTGGAGAGGTGGAAGGGCCGCCTCGTTTAACATCATCCCCAGCAGCACTGGTGCCGCTAAGGTATTTAATTAAAGCCCACTTTTTTTCATAGTTTAATTCATCTAGCTTCCAATTTTATTTGAACTTGATATTCACATGAAGTATTCACAAACACTTAAAAATGAATATCGAACGGTAGCTTTGGGTTAAGTTTCCATGCATAGCCTCTGTTAACAGCCTTATACACTAGACAATCTTTTGATTAATTAAAAGCTATTTAGCTTCAATTTGTAAACATCACAATTCTACACACTTCTGATTGTATGCCTCTTTAGCTTTGGGCTTCAACCATATTAAACGGTGAAGCACTTCTTTAGAAGCACATTATTTTGCTCTTTTGGCAATATATTCAAGATTTTTGAGATGTCTTGTGTTTTTTTTTTTTTTTTTTTTGGGTACAAAATTTGTGAAGGCTGTTGGAAAAGTGCTTCCAGCCCTCAACGGCAAATTAACCGGGATGTCTTTCCGAGTCCCCACTGTTGATGTTTCTGTGGTTGACCTGACTGTAAGGCTGGAGAAAGAAGCCACCTATGAGGATATCAAAGCTGCCATCAAGTAAAGTTATTTTTATTTTTCTCTCTCTTAACAAATAACAAAACACAGCCCCCCAAACAAAGTTGATTTTTGTGAACTTTAACGATATTTTTTTGGTTTTTTATTTCTCTCAGGGAAGAATCTGAGAACAAGCTCAAGGGCATCCTGGGTTACACTGAGGACGATGTTGTGTCCACCGATTTCGTGGGTGACAGCAGGTACCATATAATTACAAAAGATAATCCTAATTAATGTAATATTTAGAAATAAACCCCCCCAAGGCCCAAAGTTCTTGAATTGAATTAATCAATTAAATCCCTTGAGGTTTGATTCCGTTCTTGTATTTTTTTCACCCCATTTGTGAAAAAAATAGAAACATGTCCATACAACAGTGCTGGGCTTTCTGTAACTACCAAAAATCTTATGGGGTTTTGATGATTTTTTTTTGAATTTTTGGATAGGTCGAGCATTTTCGATGCCAAGGCTGGAATTGCATTGAACAAGAATTTTGTGAAGCTCGTGTCGTGGTACGACAATGAATGGGGTTACAGTTCTCGTGTGATCGAT